GAGGTGGACGACAAAGATCGTGACTGTCCCTTGCACGTAGTTACGTCATTATATGATTAAAACTTAAATGAGGGTTAAATTATTTTTAAAAAATATATTTATAAAGATATCAAATAAAAGTATTTTTAGTGTGGACTAACGTCTCATTGATATATATTTTAAAAAAAAAATGTTCATGTATTTGTAAAAAAAAAAAATTAAATCTTAAATTATTTTAGATAATACTATAACAAATATGTTCTTCAATACAAGCAATTTAATGTTTACTAATCGCAGCAAATACCTTTTATGACAGCACACTCCATAGTAACATATTCCTGGTCAAGTCTACAAAGTGCATATTTTATTTTAATTAGCACTGAAATTTCCTGAAACAGCAAACGTTTAAAGAAAGTTCTGTTTTCTCCAACTTGTATCTGTTTTGAATCGTTTGATGATATTTCTATTAGGCAAGGTGTAGCTGGTCCACTGCATTCAAATTCTAAATGTAAATCATGTTCGTCAATAAATATATTACAATTTTGTGTCTCAGTAAATTTTTGTCCATTTGCTGTCACAACACCGCTTGCATCTGTAGGTTCTGTAAATAAAATTCATTAGCTAGATTTTTTTTTTTTTTAAATGTACCACCCATTCCATTCTCCACTCATTCTAACATTTTAATACATTTATAGGGTCCTCATCATATAATAAAAGTAATTTTCAAATTGAAGATTATTAACATGTAATATTTTATATCAAGATAAACATCTTCAAATACTTACCAACTATTTGAGGTAATGTCAGTTGATCACTAGCGATTTCGGTTTGGTTAGAATGTTTTATGACACCTCTGATGGTAGCATTGTTAAAATGTTGCAGAACCTCTGAAGATATTGAAATGTTGAAAGTTTCATCAGCAATTTTTGAACAGTGGTAATAGTGTCCAGTCTCTTTAGCTCCCGTGCATTCTGACTTGACATCTACAGAAAATAACTGATTAAAAAAAAAAAGAAAAGAAAAATGATATTTTAAAGGAAATATGTTTTATAATATATACAAAAACATATCAGAATAACCTTTGCTATAACTTTATTGTTCATTAAATTAACTTTATGGACCAGTTTCAAAACAAATTTAGTTGTTTTTTTTTCTTTAATTTTAAAAGATTGAAGGTTTTTTACCTTTTAAACATTGAATATTTATAACGTTAAAAATAAGTTTAAACACACTTAAGTTGCAGCGTTGGCTTTGTTGAATGTTATTAACACTGCAATTAAAATGCTCAATCTTCATTCTTGAAAATTAATTGAATTTGAAACATGACAGTTAATTTTAAATTGTGTAGCCTTTAATTAAATTTAAAAATAAATTTGTTTGGCTCATAAAGCATGTTTTAATAAGTGCAATTTAAAATGATAATTAAAATTACGTTCTTGTTGACAAATTTTAAAACTATTAAATTAGACTTGTAGGAAATAAATATTTTAAAATATATTTTTTTTTTAATTTTAATATTATTGTTTTGACATTTTGAAAAACTAATTGTACTTTAGTTATTTTTGTTTTGTTATTATTTTGTTAAAGATGTTAATGCGCTTTTTGCTCTAAAAGTCAGTGTTCTTGATGTAAAACAATTTTTATTAAATTTTACATAAAGGTCATCACAAAGATTGGTATTTAAAATAAACATTAACAGAAAATTACAAAATGTAATACTTCGGGACTTTCCCTTCGCATATTCAAAGGTTTCATAAATTATTAAACTTACTAGTGTAAAGACATTCTTGTTACTTGGCCTAAACTCAAATCTCACTAGTGTGGTATTCAATAGATCATTTGATAATTTAACTGTCGTGTTGAAGGATATCCAATCAACCTTACTCAGCAATCCAGTTGTGCACTTCGTCTTGCAATCTTCTTGCTTTAATTGATGCAATTTTATTTCTTGGCAAAACGAAAGTGCTATTTCACAAATAAAAAAGGAAAAAGGAAATTTTATTTTATTATACATTATTTGTGTATATAAATAACCAAAAAAACACCTATACTTTTGAGGAAAAATATCTTTGTAGTGTATTTAGAAATTGATCTTTATTTTTAGTAAATAAAATATATAATCTTTAACTTCTTTAAATAAAAAAAAGAATGAAGATACAAAATGTGATATCAGTATTTGATATTAATGTAATTGATAGTCTGCTTTCTCAGTATATCGTAAGTTAATTTAACACCTTCAATTTGATAGTCAAAAAAATCCTCTTTTTTTTCTGTTTCCCCTTTAATGCCTTGTTTTCTTACTTATTAATTTTAGGCTCAAGATGACAATTTTCAGTATGCTCAAAAAACACATCTTACAGTTCTCAGCCATGCTGAAAAAAATGAACAAAGTATTTGTAAATTATTTAAAACTGTAATACATTGTTTCCCAACTCAAAGTTTGGGCTTCTAACTCGTGGGTTTGTTTCCAAACGGGCTGGGAACACAAATGGGGTTTACAAGGAGTGCAATTTGAAAAATAATAAAAAAAAAATCTTCATACATTTAAAATATTTATTTGTTTTATTAAAATATGAATAATTACACACCTTTCTGGCTGTAAAATTTTTAAATATACAAAAAGGCCCTAAAAAAATACAATTGTGGACTTATTTTGGTTAACATTAGCTAAAAACTGAACTGTACATTTTGAAGCCTCCAAATTATTTTAAAACAATACATTTGCACATTAAGTATAATACAGTTTTGAAGAACAGTAAATCGTCGTGAAGATTTGTTCCCTATAAGATTCCCTTTTCAAGATAATGTTTCATCTCATAAACATTCTTTTAATGTCGGACGACACAAACACGGTTCTATATACAAATCCTCCTTGTATGCGGGACAACGTCTACAAGTTACGAACTCATCTTTTACCCCATCATATCCATACTCTACGACGTTGATGCAGTGATGGGGTGAATTGTAAAACGAATATAGAAAACAAAAGAATAGCTGGGACAAAAATAAGTTAGATACAAGATAAACATTTAATAGAAGAGAACATAGTTTGTGTAACAGATGCTGGGAATTTAGATTAAGATAATAAAATTTACTGTGGCATCAATACCAATCTGATAAACAATAGGATATAAGGGAGCAAACGGATTCTTCAGTAAGTGGAAAGTTACTTATTGTGAGAGGAATCGTTTTCAAGAAAATCTTAAATAAATTAAATACATAAATGAAATATGTTAAAAAATAGTATTATGGGGAAGAGGGGGTATTTTATCCTTCAAAACACACTAGCGTCTGGAAGTCAAACTGTGCTAAAGTCTCTAGAAATTATGAGTTGTAATAACTTTGCAAAAATTGTAAGCATCAAGTAAAATGTAGAGGGACTTAATATCGAATCCTATCAATGACAGCCATATGGAAGTTACACAAAACGCGAATGTGAAAATGTATAAAAATCTATATATCTATCTATCTAATCTATCTATCTATCTATCTATCTATCTATCTATCTATCTATCTATCTATCTATCTATCTATCTATCTATCTATCTATCTATCTATCTATCTATCTATCTATCTATCTATCTATCTA